CCCTAAATGACACAAGATGCCCCCATTTCTGCGTGTTGGACCTCCCTCAGTAGAGGCAACTCAAGAATAAGTCAATAGATCTGAATGGTCTGAAGTTCTCTTATTTGAGGTTGCCATGTCTGTGCTGTTGGTTCCTTAAACTCAGGACTGTCGAGTACTCATCGTGAAGTTAGTTGGAGTTTCTTTCACGGGCTCAGCTGGACTATATGCAACTTTTCCTTCTCGATTTGAAGCTAATCCTCCTCTTTTATGTCCTCACTCTCTTCAGTATCAATTGTGTCATTTCCCATATTTTTAAGAATGCTCTGCTTGGTGAAACAGATCACCCTCTGGTTGAGCAGTATGATTCAACATGTTCAAATTTGTGGCACTCACCGTGAACTTAGTTGGAGTTTCTCTCATGAGAGGTCAGCTGGAATATGTGCAAATTTTCCTTCTCAATTGGAAGTGAGTCCTCTTTTGTGTTCTCACCCTCTTCAATATCCACTATCACTACCCACTTTCTTAAGAATGCTCTGTTCGGTGAAACAAATCACCCCCTGGTTGAGCAGGATGATTCAACATGCCCAAATCCGTGACACTTGCAACATTTACTGGCTGGGACAGATTTAGATATGAGAATTTAGTTCGGCCATTCTCTTCTTTGACTCAACTTTCCCTTTGAAGGAGTCAGCTTGGGTGTTCTTCTAGGTGTAATCTGGTTGTAAGACCCGAGGCTGATCGTTGCCTGTAAGACAGGTTGCCTGATGATGTGGTCTCTCCACTTCGGAAGTAGAGTTTGAAGCTGCTGTCTATAGTAGGCTAATAAGAACTGGTGCTGGATCTTCCGCTTTTTCTTCAAATTCTCCCGTTCTCCATTTGCTGTCTCTTCTCTCGGCCTCCTTTGATACTAAATTACACAACACCATGATCGGTCTTCTGCATCACTATAGTCTTCCCTATGAAAGGGATTTAGATCCTCGTCACATTCTCCCCCTCGATTCTCCATATCCCAGTTGAGGGTAATCTCTCCCTGCGTTTTATCCTCAATATCCACAAGTTTCTACTAAAATTGATATATCTTGTTTTATCTCTTTTCGGGTAGGCTTGGGTTTGTATCTTTTTGGTTGCATGACTATGGTTTGGAGTGAGAGATGAAAAAGGGCAAAAAAATGATTTAGGATTGTTGATTTTAAAAATCAACAAATGGAAATTAGGGTTAGGTCAAAGTTTTGGTTATGGTTTAGGAATAGGAAAGGAATTTTTTGGTCGAGGGGCAAGGTGGATGCTAGGAAACCTTAGGATAGAACTAAGGTTAGACCAGCTCTGATGCCAAATAATACCAAAGTCGAATAAAATAATTACCGAACGACAAATTTTATTGCTGAATTCAAAAGTGATAGTGGCGAATTCTAAACATAAAATAACACAATTATGTAAACAATAAGTAATGATGATGACACTGCGATATAAGAAAGAAAACATCACAAAACATATAAATGGCTTCCTAGAGGAGGGTAGCAGGCCTGGAAGGGTAGGAAGGAAGCGACAACGGTGCTAGAGGGTGGATGGTAGCAAGTGGCGGCGGCACTGAATGGTGTAGGAGGACTGGTAACAGGTGGTTGTGATTTAAAAGGGAATAAGAAAGGTGGCGAAGGATTGTATACCTACAAGATATCACTATCTCAAACGAGTTAGAACGGGAGTATCTCATCGCCTTCGAAATAAAACCCTAGAGGGGAAAATTACCGCCGACGACAAACTGGATATAAATATGAAATTAGAGAAAACTGACTTTAACCAAATAAAAAAACACCTATATATAATTATGAATAGTAGAGAGAATAGATAGGGAATATAAATAGAAAGGTGATGGAAAGGAAAGTGTTAGACAAGAAAAGTGCTAGAAAAGGAAGGGCTAGACAAGGCAAGGAATTAAATAGAAAAAAGGGACCGCAATATTGTAGTTGCGTCATTGCCCCCTTCACAATCTCTTACTGAAACATTTATCTAGCCTTTTTCCCTCTTTATAAAAATATTTGTGACATCTTTCTATCATTTTCAAAAAGAAAGTCAAGATTAGTATTAAAGGCGAGTTCTGAATGCTCTACTTGGAATAGGGCTTTGCGATGGGTTGAATCGCATATTTCTAGTAATTTGTGGGTCACTCATAACCTCTCATTCACGAGCAGCGCTCTGCCTCCCTTTCACATGTTCCTAAAGTATCACTCCCTTGCACACTATACAATCTTAATCAAATTAAACCTGTATCGTAGCCATAAATCCTATGCATTATCTTGTATTTTCATATGATGATCTCCTTTATAACACTTATCCGTGAAAATGTGTTTTTATATTACTATATCAAAAAAAATACAAAAGCTATACATGTATGCTTCTATGATGTGCAGAAGTGAGATCTATCATCTACAAGTATAGTAGGGAGTTCCCTATCATCATCTACATGCATAAAAACAAAAGAGCTGTTGAGGGCGCGCTTGACACAAAAATGATCGGCCCTATCACAATCACGTGATATATCAAAAAATAGAACTTGTCTAAATTTATAGAGAAAAGCAAAATCTGAAACTTCCTTTTTGTGGCGTTGCCAAACGCTCCTTCATAGTCAATCTCATAAATTGCATAATATTTGTGTTGTCGCCTTATGCCTTTGCATTCAAACATCCATGACTTAAAAATGCTGTGTAGAAGTTGAATTACATTTAGTTCCAGTTGAGCAGGGTCCCAGTGTTCCTTAGCATGACAGGCGGCAATAAATTCCAAACCTTGATCATTGCGGATAATAGCACCCGTTGCCGCAACCCCGGAAGGGAGAAGCGCCCCCCATCAATGTTTACTTTGATTTAACCGTGAGGGGGAGAATGCCAGAAATGAGGAATGACCGACTTATGGGATCGACTAGTGTCTTGCTGCTCACAAAAAGGAAAAAAAAGTGCATCTTTGTAAGTGCTTCGAGAATTGTGGAGGCCACAACCGTAGGTGTTCCGTGAGAACGATTTTGAACTTTTGCATTACAAGCTCGACAACAGTGGTGGATGGTGTAACAAAAACATCGCACCGGTGTGGCCGCATTTTGCTGCATCATACTAAGACCCTAGATGGCCTCTTTAAAGTTTTTGAAGGATGGCAAATTTATGCCCCATGATGCTTTAACTTTCATTGACCCTGCAGAAGAGAAGGCATTTAGTAAAAATGTGATTCCTATCTCCACATCCACGCAGCCCCAAGGGAAATTTGTTATGTCCACGAGCCCGCTGTTAACCATCCATAACTTAGTAGGTATTGCATCCAAGATCAGCCTCCACCAAAAAAAACCTCTTGCAAGGATGCATTTGTAATTTATTGAGCCATCTCAGTTTGATATCATTGGATTGGAATCTAGCTCCATACGCAAGACTGGTAATAGATTTACCCGAGAATCTTCCTGCCGGTCCAAATGAATTTTTTTTTGTAAAATTTTGTTCTTCAATTCCATGCCAAAAGATTGGTCCAGCTCCTTTAGGTTCCACGTGCCCTCCTGATGAAAATTTGAAACCCGAAAGCTCTCAAGCCTATTGCTGTTAATTGCTGGTCCAAATGAATTTTCAACTCTTATCCAGTCTCCACTGTTCTTGTGAATTGTGCGTCCTCGTTCAAACCATAACTCCAACTTTGCAAATAGTTCATTCTGATCGATCAAACCCAACCCAACTCAACCAAAGTTGCCACACATACACAAACACAATTGAGGAAAGGAAATGATCTTCAGTTCGCCAGTGCCCCTGTTAAAGTGGATCATTTACTGCCATTCATGAAATTGTCAAGCTTCCAAGGTGCCTTTCCAGAGTTGTTAAAAAGTTAGTGAGAATTTGTCAAAAGAATTTTCTATTGATATTGTTAACATGATGATGTTTTTTCGCTTAGCCTCATTCTTCGTGGGGTACAATTCTCATTTGCACTTCTTTCACTGAATTTAGGATGGATTTTATGATTTGCTGTATAATTGAATATGTTTAGTTCTTTCTTGCAAAGTTTCAACATTCCTGTGTAGGTCTTCCTCTGACAAAGTTTCAACCTTTCAGTGTAGAATTCATTGTAGAACAATGAAATTGATGTAATGCAACTCTTTTAGTTTTTGGTTATGAGTTTTTCATGTTAGCCTTTGTTTATATTTATATTAATTATTACTATGTTGAAGGTTTGGATTAATTTAGTGTTTTTCCTTTTTTTTCAAGTATATGTAGCTGGTAATTTAGTAAATGAGAGCTTGTGATGAACTAAAGAAAGGTTTCCTTCTGGCTTCCCTTTTTGGGAATTCGTTCCTCTTCCTCTTAGCCGTAAAGGTCTCTTTTAATTCTTTCTACTTCGTTCCTCCCTTCCTTTGAGGTGCTCATTCATCAGTTCCACCATCTCCTCCTTCCAACTTCTACTATTTTCTATATATATCAGGTTTGTCAATTGTTTGATGATATCAAAGAACGTAATTGTGTAATAGGTAGTTGGAGAATGTGATTACAAAAGTTAAACTTCAAATCCTAAGTTAGCAAGCGTGTTTTCTTTTTGAACTCATTTTCTTTCATTTCCCTCCACCTAACAGCTTATAATTCAGTTACTGTCAATTACCTTTTACAAATGGAAATTTCAGCATCCTTAACCTTTATCAAAACCTTTGCAACAAACTAACAAAGAGGAGGAAAACATGATAACTGAAAAACTGATTGAAAACTGAACATGCCTGGCCAGTTAGAAAAAATACTCAAATATTTAAATAAAAACCAAAGTAAATTATTTGCAAAGAGATATCCATAGAATCTCAGAAAGTTTCTATTTGTTTCATCAATATCTATCTACTATTCATTTTCATTACATTCCGAGTTTCCTAGAATGTCAACTTATTCACTGTAGCATACTTTTCTTTTCACATTTATCTTGTTTTTTTTTGTTATGATGAGACGATTTTCTTGTGAAATGAACCCTGTTAATAGACATCACTTAATATGTCATGTGATTAATGAAAGCAGGACTACAATGAAGATGGAAAGCTTACGTATGATGAGTTTAGCACCTTAGTCAAAGTATTCGGCAATCAAGTAGCGGCATCCAAGGTTTGGGCAGTTCTTATTACGTACATAAAATGCCTTTATTATGCCTCATCTTATGATCATTATGTGTTTTAGAAAGAAGAGCTATTCAAGTTGGCAGACAATAATGGAGATGGTGTTGTGGATATGGATGAATTGGCAACTCTTCTGGCTGTTGAACAAGAGGAGTAATGTTCTAATATTTATTGACTTCTTTGATTGGTTTCTTTGAAAAATGGATGATCATCTTCATTGCTGATATTCTCTCAAACATGGATCTGACATGGCAAATATTGGAAAATCTGGATAAAAATTCAACTAAGGAATTGCATTGTTTTTTACAAATTATTAGCACATCCATCTATATATATATATATATATAATATATATATCTGCCTTAGCAGAGACGACGGAACGGTGATTCTATCGGCTTAATCGCTTCTCTTCGGCGTCTCCCACGACGACGTCCACGCAGCTGCAGCTCCCTGTCTCTCCTGTTGAAGTCGAGCGCTCCAAGTCGTCTTCATTGTCGACAATGATCGCTACTGCCGTCGTCGCCTGATTCCATTGACGACGGTGCTTTCTCTTGCAGTCGTCTCCCTTAGCCGACGGCATCGCAACTGTCTCGTCTCCTGTAGCCGCGACATCGCGGCTGTCTCCTTGCCCGACAACGCCCGGTTTGCTCCTTTCTTTGCGGCCCGCCAAAGTGTTTCTCTCCTGACCCTGCCATCTTGTACGGAAGATGACCTCGATGCTCCGTTTCTATGCAAATGCCCTTGCCGACGACTTGCCCATTTCTGCTCATGCCCATCCTCCAGGTTCAGAGCCTGGTTTTGCTATCGGTAACTCCTGCAATGTTCCGCAATCGTTCCATGAGGCTCTTGAAAGAGGTGATCACACTTTTATTAAAAAGCTTGAAAAAGATGGGAAGCCTGCACTAATTCTCACTGAGGAGGAAACCGGTACTCTTGCGTCCTCTTGGCGTTTTGCCCTTGTGGGGAAATTTTCTTATAGTCACCCAGAACTGGAGATCATTAAGAAGAAGTTTGATGCTATGGAACTATTTGGCAGTTAGTACATTGTCCTACTTGACGGTCAACATATACTTATTCAGTTATCTCACGATACCGATTACACTCGCATTTTCTCTCGAAAAGCTATCAAAATCGACAATTATTTTATGAAAATTCTGAAGTGTACTGTCGGTTTTGCTCCAAAAGCGGAGTTCCCTATCATTCCAGTTTGGATAAAGTTTTCGGGGTTAAAATTACATCTGTTCAACATGAAAATCCTCTACTCTTTAGCAAGGTGGATAGTCCTACGCTTGCTGTCACCAGACCTTCTGTGACTTGTGTATTAGTTGAGAGAGATATCACTCAACCAACTCCGGATGAGATATGAATTGACACTATTCACAACGGGGATTGACAAAAGGTTGAAATAGAACCACATCCTTCTTATTGCTCATATTGTAATATGTTTGGCCACAGTTCTAATATTTGCTATCTCTTGCATCCTCATCTAAGACCGAATATCGCTAAAGATCAGCCATCTACCATCATTTCTTAGAAGGTGCAATCCAATCCTCTTTCCAACATCGCAGTTCCAGATGAAGAACACCTTACTACAGATACAGATCCAAATGTGCTGATACCACTTACCGTTATTGAAGAAGTCCCACTTACATGCCAAGACACACAAGAGTGTTCTTTTGACCCGAAAGAAGATCAGCTGGTACAACAAGTAGTTGCCTTTAATGTTCAACAACATACACATATTTTGCACACTTCAGACCATTCTGTTGATCAGGTAAGTCAATCCTCGTATGAGGAATGACATGTCTACACGAGAAGGAAGAAGAAGAACGAAAGGCGACTCGAGCTAAGGAATCTATTGGATGATACATTAGTTACTACTGGCAATGACACTCATATGCTCGATTTTTTAGCTGGCTCCTTCCCTAAAACTAGAGTCAGAGACAATGCAACATTGAGTCGCTCTCCAGCTACCCGATACTCCTATTTTGACACTTTTTTAGTTTTTATTTTTTTAGATTTATTATGTATTGGCTGTATTTTCTCTTTTTTGAAACTATTTGATATGGTGGTTTTTGTGTGGCCTTTTTTGGGATCTCCCACAAAATCTATCTGTACCTTACTTCTTATTTAATATATTAGCCATTGGGCTTTCAATATATATATAGATAGATATATGAAGTAATTATCGTATAGCCAAAGCATAAGATTGAAATATGTTAAGGGACAAACTTATCAGGAGGAAATTATTGACAGGGAGAATGAATAAGAAGTTAGAATTATCTCATTTTAATATATGGTTGGTGGCAAAAGTTGTGTCCTGCAAAGTGGTGCCTTTTTCAAGGGTGTTCAAGTCTTGGAATATTTTCAAAACCAAAAAAAGAAAGAGTAACACTAAATAGCTTGTGAAACTATGCTACGGTGTTTCTCTGTCTTGAGATTGGCTTTGGAACTCTCTTGGTGTGCGTGTGACTTCCAGATTTTTCTATAGTATTTTGTGATGGTCTTTATAATTTGTTTGCAGGACTGATTTATAGTCATATTCTACTGCAGAGACTCACTAATCAGCAATTGCCCTGTATGTGGCGAAGCTCTTGGAAAATATGATAGAATGAATGATATCATTCACTTGACTTTATGCTTTGATGAGGGAACTGGAAATCAGATCATGACTGGGGGCTTTCTGACAGATACGCAGGCTTCTTATGGGTGGGGTTTCATTTTCTTATGGCGTTGGATACTTTCATCATGAATATCAGATTATTTTAATGCGTAACAGATCTTTTGGAGACGGCTCTCTGTGTGTTTTCCGGATGTTTAGAGCAATGTACTAAACGTGAAATAAAACATTACCTCTTTTTTTTGACCTTTTACTCCTGTAGGTGGATGTTTAAACTAAGTGAATGGGCTCATTACTCGTCCTATGGTGTTGGTCTGAAATCTGGATCTAGTGCCTCACATATTTTGGTAATGTTTTTTTCTGTCCATAAGTTGTCATCCCATTATTAATAGAAATACATAACATTGAGTTGCCTGGTATAAATCTAGTATAAACCTTAACACATCATTGACTGACTTTATGGCACTGTTAATTGTTCTAAAACTTCAATTTGAACTCCTGAAATTTGAGGTAGTTTATATGGTGGCCTATCATTTGATGTTTCTCTTATTCTACAGTAGTGCTTATAGGCTGAAAATTCTGCTTTAATGTAAGCTTATTTTCCTAAGAGTTTTAGATGTCTGTGTGATATCAATGTTCCATATCTGTCAAACAATTGTATGAACAATTTCTGTGTACACACTATTTATTACCACGCTAGTGTTTTGCTGTGTCATTAAATTATTTTTAGTCCATTTCCCAGACCTTTTTGATAATGGAGGAAACCCAAATCACAACGAAAGACAAATACTATTGTTGAAATTGAAAGGATTACAGACACGGCACTTGACAACATGAAATAACGACAACAAAACAATAACACAAACATAAAGACACAACACAAACTCCAATAAGATTTACTGTAGCAGAGAGATCTGATGGAGGGGCTGCGACAGCTGTTGGGCTGCTTGGGACGGGCTGTTGCAACGTTGGGAAGAGCTGGAGGCCGCTACAAGAGGATGGGGGAAGGCCTGAAAGGGTTGCGGTTAAGTCTGGATGCGTTGGGAGGGCTTATGGCAGGTTCTGCAAGAGCTGGAGGGAGTTCGGCAGCGAGGGCAGCAAGCTGGCAGGTGCTAAGACGAGGCAGCTAGCAGTAGGAAGAGGACCAGAGAGTTTCGGAAAGATAAAATGTCTCGTCGGGGTCGAGTTGTAGCCGGAGCACCATCCAAACCCTTGGAGATGGCCACCACCTCGGACGAGTTACAGCCGGAGCATTTTCTCGCCGCCACGCCTCAAGAGCAGTAACTGAAACCAACAATCATCAAAACCTCCTTTCCTAAGTAAAAAACAGCTTCTATATAAGAGGAATTGGGACTTATATTAGATAATGTTTGCAGTTAGGAAATTTAATAAAAATGAATAATATAATAGATAAGGATTTATAATAAGGGTATTAATAGAAAATGAAAGAAATATTAGGAGGGAAAAGGAAAAAAAAATGGTGGAGAAAGGTTGGACCGCAATTATTGTAGCAGCTACAGTACCGCGATCGGGGGGAAGCTCCCGCGTCACTTTCTGTATCTACTGTTTGGTGTTTTAACTTATCATATTCTTAGGAGAATTGCATATGTATTTTCTGCTATAGTACAATCATAATGTTTTGTTGCAAAATATCAAATTATTGAACTAATTTGGAGATTCAAATTGAAGAAGTTGGATCCAAGTTTTATTTGGTTCAGGTTTATACTAATTCCCAATCTTCTCCATTGTTGCTTGTTACTACTGATGTCTTTTGTCTGGATTGGGGAATAGAAATGTGATTGTAAGAAAGTTTCCAACTTGCCATAGTGGATAGCTGATTTAATTAATGTACTTTATCTACTTTATTCAATATGTTCTCCTTCTAATTATCATGTTATTTGCTCTTCCTATTTGCCTATATATATAAGCACCTGTATTCATTCAGTGATATATAGCACAAAAAAGCTTCTTTCTCTATGAGCTCTTGCCCTTGACCCCACCATTTTCACCCTTCTACGGTTCCCAACTTGTTACCACAAAATGCTCACTTGTAGCTACAATACTTGCTCATATCTGCAGTGTTTGATGCTTTGGCTCGCTAACCATTATTGCTTGTGTGTTTGCTCATGCTCAACTATGCGCCTGTTATGACCTCTCTTTGCGCTCGGTTGCTTGCCTGTTGATCGCTCATATGTGCTTGCATTCCTTGTTAGCTGCCTTTCACGTTGCTTTTGACTTTTTTACTTCACTTTCTGTACTATAACTTTCTCAAATATAAATGCTTTATTTTGACAAATTCCTTGTGCGATAGAGTGACAAATTTATTCAGAAGTCTTGTAACACTTATAATGACAAATTCAAGATATCATCTCTTTACCGTTGCACACTCTCAAATTTAATTTAAAATTTTAATTATATTTAGCAGAGTTATTAAAAATACCAAATAATCCTTGCATTATTTTTTGAAAACTTCTATTCTTTTGTATTTTAAAATTAAAAGAAAGCTTTGCAGATGTTTGATATTATCATTGTCGAGTTTCAAGGCCCGGATGTGAAAAGTGGAGGGTTGTGTTACTTATTTGACAACCAACATAAAATTTGTCGTAAAATCATGACATAAATCATTTTAATTATTGTGTAAATGTTAGGGTGTCCCTTGGAAGCGACATATTGTATGACCTAACAGTGAAAAGTGTGCAAGAGTCACTACACCGACGCCCGGGTGTAATTTCAAATAATCAAGTGTTCCCATTACAAACGGATGCGGGTAAAAAAGTTAGTCCATGAAATTAGTATTAGTATAGGATCTTGGAATATTGGTACTTTCACAGGTAAATTAATAGAATTAGTTGATATTATGATCTATAGAAAGATAAATAACTTTTGTATCAAGAAACTAAATATATTAGAGAAAATGTAACGGAGATTGATAATTTAGGTTTTAAACTTTGGTATTTAGGTAAGAGTCGCATTAGAAATGGTGTAGGTGCAATCATAGATAAGAGTTTGAAAGATAATGCTGTAAAAACTAATAGAATTGGAGATGGAATTATAATCCTTAAGATTATTGTTGATACTAAGATTTTTAATATTATAAGTGCTTATGCTCTTCAAGTAGTTTTAGATATAGATTTTAAAGAAAAATTCTGTAATGACCTAGAAAACTTAATGCAAATGTTACCTTTTGAGGGAAGAATTTTTATTCGAGGAGATTTAAATGAACATAGAGGTAGAATGATAGATGATTTTATAAATATTCATGGTGGCTACGGTTTTGGAGCGATTAATGAAGAATTTAGAGTCATTTTAGATTTCGTTTTAACGAATGTTTTTGTTATTGTTAATACTATATTCAAGGAAAGAGATGAACTCACTATTACTTATAAGAATGGAATTTGTAAAAAAAACAAATTGATTATTTTCTTATGAGAAAAAGAGATCGTAGAGAATGTAAAAATTGTAATGTCATTTCAAGTGATAATTTAAGTACTTAGCTTCGATTATTAGTTCTGGATTTTGAAATGAAAAGTTTTAAAAGATAAATAAAATTATTTTTATTAGTAAACTTTAAGATTTCAAGAAAGACAAATAAAATTATTTTTATTAGTAAACTTTAAGATTTCAAGAAAGACAAATAAAATTATTTTTATTAGTAAACTTTAAGATTTCAAGATTTGGGATGTTCATGATCTTTGTGAGTAAAGTAGCAAATATTATTAAACAATTGACAAACGATGTACTTAGATAATCAAAAGGAAAAATTTCTATAAATAAAAATAGTTAGTGGTGAAATGATAATTTGTAAGTAAAGATAAAATTTAAGATGTTATAAAAATTGGTTTAAATATAAACGTGTAAAGAACTAGAAAAAATATAAAATGGCTTTTAGAGAAACAATATGTGATGCTAAAAATTCATCTTTTAATGATCTTTACAATATATTAGAAACTAAGGAGTGTAAAAATATTTGTATAAACTAGCCAAACAAAAAGTAAAGAAAAATGAAGATTTAAATCAAGTATCATAGAAAAATCAAAAAGTTTTTTTGTTAGAAAAATATATTTAACATAGGTCGTTGAATTATTTTGATAAACTTTTCGATGAAGTTTCTGAAAATACGATCGACCTTAATGATCTTAATATTATTAATAATAATAAAATGTTTCATTTTTACTGCCATATTAGTAAAAAAGAGTTGAGGAAGATTTAAAAAAAATAAAGGGTAGAAAGTCTGTGGGACCTGATGATTTCGCAATTGAAGTGTGGAAATATTTAGGAGATTTGGGAGTTTCTTGGCTTACTAAACTGTTTAATATTATTTTAAATATTAAAAAGATGCATGAGGAGTGAAGGCAGAGTATTTTGGTCCCCATTTGTAAGAATAAAGAGGCTGCACAAGAGTGTGCAAATTCTAGAGGAATTAAGTTGTTGTGTCATACTTTAAAATTATGAGATAGGGTAATTGAACATAGGTTAGGACATTTTACAAAGATTTCCCATAATCAGTTTGGATTTATGCCGAACGGTTTACTATGGATGCTATACATTTATTAAGAGGTTTGATGGAGAAGTATAGAAAGAATAAGGAGGATTTACATATGATTTTTATTGATTTAGAGAAAGCTTACGATAAGTTTCGAAGAGACACCCTTTGGAGAGTTCTAGTGAAGAAAGGTGCTGATAAGACTTATATTCAAGTCATTAAAGATATGTATACTGGAGTTTTTCTTTGTGTTCAAACAGAAGGAGGATTGACCAAATATTTTCCTATTTCAGTTGGATTACATTAGGGATTGACTTTAAGCCTATATCTTTTTTATATCTTTTTGCTCCTATATCTTTTTGCTTTAGTTATGGATGCTCTTGCTGGATATTTGCAGGATGTACCTTGGTGTATCGCTTTTCACTGATGATTTCCTTCTTGTGGATAAGACTAGAGAAAAAAACTCAGGAAAACTTGAATTATGAAGGTCTACTTTGGAGTCTAAAGGCCTTCGTTTGAGTAGAACTAAAACTAAATACATGGATTGTAATTTTAGTAGTAGTAGCTCTAGTGATAGAGTTGTTACTATTGGTGATCAAAGTATTAAAAGGTGTGAATGCTTTAGATATCTCTGGTCTTTTGTTTAGGGTCTGTTTGGGGCAGCTGCAGCTTATCCAGCTTCTGCTGATAAGCAACTTATCCTGATAATCTGATGATGACCAGCTGATCCGGATAAGTTGTCTGGCTGTTTGGTTAACGCGTCTGGAAAACAGCTGATTGTGAAAAATTGACCCTTTTGCCCCTGTTCTGAATAAGCAGTTTAGCTGTTTGGTTAGTGCGTTTTGTAAACAGCTTATTTGTAAA